ATCTATAACAACTGATGGAGGCAAAAATATGTATGGTAAAAATAAAGAAGTGGTTGCACTTGTGTCAAAGGCTGTAGAAAATGATGGTGGTTCAAAACCATTAGTCTTATATTGTATCATTCATCAACAGTCCTTGTGCGGAAAATGTTTGGATATGTCTGAATTTCAAAAACCAATCATATCAGTTGCTAACTTAGCCGTATTTTGAAAAATAATAAAACTCATACCCTTAAAATTGGTGTATATAGGTTTATATAATGCTTTATCGAATGGAAGTAATGGTGTTTTCCCAATACTTCCAGTTATATCGGAAGTTGGTACCAACTTCTTTAATCCCAATATAACACCCTCTATATATCTACATGTTTAAAAATGAACCGTTCTCGAGATATTCATTTGTTTACTCAAAAAAAACTAGGTATTCGGCTCTCGAGTGATTCCTTCCATTCATGAAATTCAAAAGTTTGATAGAATTCTTCAATAATGACTCATTTATATTTTATAACATTTCGGAAATGTTATATGAGGTGTTCCGAATCGATGACTAATTCTGACGATATAAAAATGGACCAAAACTCAGTTTTTCTCAATTGGACCACCCTCTGTTTTAGGATAGTTTTGATTTCCGAGACGATTGTGACCCATTTTTGTGAAACAATCATTATATCGAAAGTCAACCATTCACGAGATATTTCAGTTTTCCTCGAAAAAATGAAACATGCACATGTCCAATATAAAACTACGAGCTACGAAACCTTCATTCCGAACAGTTATGGAAAGTTTATTAGAGCTTTCAATTTCCCATCATGGTTTTTATTGAAGACAGAATTTCAGAAGGATAAATAACGAATTGAAAAATGTTTCATGAAAAAGTAAAAATTCCAAAATATTGCATTGTTTTTTTACACAAAATATAAATGCTATTCCAAAATATGTTTGAAGACATTTCCATTAACTTTCAGGCATTTATTAACTCTCTTCATCAATTTGTTATTTACAGTTGGACTGATTTCATTAGCATTTGAGCGTTGAATGCTTGTGAAACTTTTCCAACCAAATTCTCTTTACTCTTCACAGAATCTGCATATGTAACATTTTCAATATGTCTCCATACATAATATTCCAAAAAAGGCACATCGGGGGAACGTGCTGGCCAAAGGTACGGCCCCTTATTGGCTATCAACGTATCATATAAGAATTGATCGAGTAATACGCCTACGATCCCGCAACTATGATGCAGTGCTCTATCCTGTTATCACCAAATATTTTTGTTATCTTCATTTGATAAATCATTACTGCAACTTCGACAACATTTTGTATTTATTTTCGGAAAGAAAGTTCTTGGCTTTCTACTATTCCATTTCGATACAAAAAAAGTGGGAATCTTACAAAGAAAGAAAGGAATCAATCGATTCATAAACAAGTAACTCTATGTATACGTAGATGTGTAGATCATGCAAAAAAGTAACTTTCAGACAATAACTGGACGAAAAAGCCCTGGCAGATTTCGTGGCACGTAACTCCTTTGGAAACCCCGAAGCGATAAATATATCTAAAATATATCATGAAGATCTATTTAGTTCGATTAGAATGAAAATATTGTAGGTTTGGACAGAAATGTAGCAAAAGCTAACTACGAATAGATTATTCAAAATAAATCCCAAATTGACCGAACAGAACTATACAAACATAAGCAGGAGATATCAAGTAACCATAACTCGTTTGAGGATCAGTCACACTAGAATTGCACATGAGCATTCATTCAAGAAGCATGCTCCCAAATCGTGTGACCTTTGCAATACACCGCTGACCTGACAGTGGAATACATCGTATGACTTTGTCCCTACTACCATGAAGAACGAAAGCTACTGAACATCATTGAGAACATAAAGCTTACTTTAAATAACAATCTTGAGGAAACTTTACAATTTATTAAGGAAATCAATGTTTTCAATCAAACATGAAATTCATGTATGTATATCTATGACACTGTAATGTACCCCGCTAATCACTCTGTGTGGTTGATGCGGTTTGGCTTGAATGAAAAAAATATAAAAACTTTTCTCTACTCAGTTTGTATCCTGAACATTCGTTATGGAATTAAATCAGATACTTCCAGATCTTCTCAATCCATCTTAATCTTGCGTTTGGTTATTTTTGTAAGAAATAATCTATGATGGAAACAATTTTTCAACAGTCTCTTTAACGTATTTTGATTCGGTTTGATTTTTTCCAGATACCTTTCAGCAAATAACTTGCATGTCCGGTCGATAATTCGATAATATTCACCATATATCTTAATAAAATTTAAAAAATATTTGTTCGAGTCACCTGAATGGAACATTTTGCTCACGAATTTGATGAAGAGAGTAAATAAGTACCTAGAAGTTAACGGAAATGTCTTCGAACATATTTTGAAGTGGTTTTTATATTTTACTTATTAGTCAGTGGGCTATGCTTGAAGACTGGCAGTAAACAAATCCAAAGAAATGAACTTCAAACGTTCAAGCCAGTCTCGGATATACCTACACAGTAGGTTGGATAGACTGACGCCTATCACCACGAAGGGCGTTGGATTATATTCGACAGGTGTCAGTGCAGGTATCTTCATAGAAAATTTCCTGCATATGCAATTGGCAATGCAACTGAAAGAGATGACTCTCAATTTTGGAAAGAGTGGCTAATGAGCCCAAAACCGGTCTGCAAGTGTGCCCGTTCCATAGTAGAATCAATCGAGAGCCGAATAACCAGTTTTTTTAGTAAATAAATCAATATCTCGAGAACGGTTCATTTTTGGTATAGGGTGTATTACATAAACTTACAAAAATGTGAAAATATACAGTGTGTTAGACTTAGGTTGAGGAAGTTTGTACCAACTTCTGGTTCAACCGGAAGTGTTGGAGAAACGCCATTATTTCATTCGATAAAGCATAATATAAACCTGTATACGCCAATTTTCAGGATATGAATTCTACTATTTTTCAAAATACCGCTAACCGAATTTTTTTAAATAAAAACATCTTTATGTTATGTTCTAATGAAAATCAGCAGTTATTCATCGAAACATTTTTGCGATAATCGAAATCAAATTGTCTTTTTCCTGGCTCTGCTGAAAAATTGACTTTTTCTGATTATATTGAAAATGTTCATTTGTAGCACGAGTCCAATAAAGTAGACTCATTTTCGTAGTTAACTTGGCAAGATGAACCAGTGGGGTGAATATCAAACAAACATTTTTCCTCTCTCATCGTTTGATCGCTTTCCATGAAATGTCAAGGGTTTATCATGTCAGTAGTGAAAACTCCCCCGGTAGCCGGTAGTTTGTAAGAAAGAATAGCCCTTACACTTAATAAAAGCTCTCCCTTTTGAATCACATACTTTTTTTTTTCTAAAGATACTTTTTAAGTATATCAGATTCTTTCCTTTCCATGAATTTTATCAAGGAAGTCTGAATTATTTTTCTTTTCTCTTCGTTCTCGGTTTTGCTCAATATGAAACTATTCTCGATTGATCTCACGGCCCTACCAAATATTTATCTCCAACTTATAGTTTCTTCGACACAGTCAGTCAAAGAAAGTGTGTTTGGTTGTGTCAATATGAGTAACTTTGATTTGCTTCAGGTAGGAATGAAATTGACTTATTTCACTCAATATTTAAAAACGGTTCAATAGTCTATGGTAACATCCGACCCAGATATGAATATTCGGTGGTTATAGGAAGGTTTTGCATTTCAGTTCCAATTTTTCTATCCATTCTTCTATTTTTCTTTCTCTCACATCTGAACGGCATGAACGGAATGAACGGCATTGCAGTAATGAGGTACAATGCTAAGGTGAATACTGTTTTCTACCCTTTTCTTTGCTATCTACATTTGGTCCTCTCAATATTTATCAATAACTGAGATAGCTATAACCTGTCAATATGGCCAGCTAGTTTTAGTTCATTCCTGAATGAGACTACACTTGCCTCATTAATACATCAATTATTTCAGTACGTAATAGTACACTTTAGATATCTGTATCATAAATGGGCGATCATTTCTTCCACTATGTGGATTACTGTGGATTTCAATTAGTGGGTCATGCTACAGTTTTGTTGTGTCTCTGTTACTGACGATTTTCAGTATTTTATATAAACGTTCACACAACATTTTATAGGAACTACAACAACCGGTGTTAGGTAAAAATGAAGTCCATATGCTAAATCCTTTGAGAAAAAGATTAGTATTATCCATGAAACCAGATTTATTGAGTCATATAAACACCTATGTTTCTGAATTACCTGCAAATTATTATTTATTCCGGGTCGAAGAACGAAATTTTATATTCTTTTAGAAAAGTCAGATGTCTTTCAAAAAACTTTTTTTTTTTTAACAAAACTCATATTTTCACATCAACCTTGATCACTACTAACACATGTCAACTAAAATCGATATACAGGGTGTAATCAAATAACAATGATAAATCTATAACATTCTCCCCCTTAGTAATTGAATAACAAATTACTGCTATTTTATAACGTCTAAAACGATGAGTCTTGAAACTGGTCGTCGAAAAATCGTGCCACTGCTATTCTTCGCATCGACGATCCTGATTTTACCATCTTTGGCAGGATAAACTTCGTTTCTCCCAACTGACGAAGTACATTGATAAATGAATTCGTACTCAAATCATGTGCTATTTCAAGATGAATAGTTCGAGTGACCATACAGGTGAAAATAACACCATATCTTTTTTCTCAGCTCCTCTTGACTGATACTTCTAAAGGTCCGAAATAGTCAACGCCTGTTTTAATGAAGGCCCTGATTGTGGGTTCAATCCTGCAAGGGGGTAGTTGTCCCATCATTGGAATTCTCGGTAAAGCTCTTTGAATTTCACAATGTTGACAGCTGTTCCAAGCACTTCTTACCGCGTGCCTCATTCTTAATATCCAAAATCTCATTCGCAGATTATTCACTACCATTTCTTGACCATGGTGGTGAACCATTTCATGATAATGTTGGATCAGAAGTTTATTTATTCTGTGGTTTGGATCTAAAACTATAGGATGTTTTGCAGAGTCGGTCAACTGAATTGACTGGTCCAGTCTTCCACTGAGCCGTATATGTCCATCATCCTCAGAATAACTGCAAGAAAGAGTGTAAAGTCGACTTTTACTTCTGAAGGGCATTTTATTTCTAAGAAATGTCATCTCTTCATTGAATAAATCCAACTGAATTTTTCTGAAAAGATGAACTTCAGCCTTGCAAATTTCCTCTGCAGTTAATTCGGACTTGAATTTACTGCGATTCTTAATAATTTAATTAAACCTAATGACATAGGCTGTAGCACGTAACAATCTCTTTCATATAGAGAACCTATTCGGGTCAGACACTATGAGATTATCTTGAATGAAATGATAGAATACAAATTCGCAAGGTCTTTCTTCCAAATGATCAATATTTACTTCCCTTTCCATTTTTTCTTTTGGCCACTGATCTGGTGATAATATCAAGAAATCTGGTCCGGTAATCCATCTCCGGTTATTATCGCTAAACGTAATTTTTTCCAATCTCTTCGTAGCTTCATCAGCCACATTTTCTTTGGAATTGATGTATTTCCATTCTGAAGAATTCGTCAAGTCCTGTATTTCTCCTAGTCTCTGGGTTTTCTTCAAGAAATGTCCTAGGCGCGCTCCGATGAGTATCCTGGGTTGAGCATCTTTCAACGGTGAAATCTTATCCTGGATGTATGGATACTTCATCATGATTTTATCGAAATCTACTGTCTGCGAGGAAAGAGAAAGTTTCGCTGTTCGTACTTACCTGAAAATTGAGACCATTGTCTTTGGAACTAATAGTAAATGAAACAACTTTAGAATCATTTTGTTGATGAAACAAATCGTCATTAGTCTATTGTAGAGAAAGACTTTGTATGGGACCGTCATGACAAAGATAATTAGCAAATTTTCATCTATTAATGAAATTGTTGATGCGTCATCCAAAAGTGCATAAGTTTCGGCTGTTTTGTTTCGACAAGTGACAACTACCGGTAAAATTTTCAGTAGAACGGATTTATTATTGAAAACGTGAGAATTTGTTCCAACAATGGCAGAGTTATCAACATTATTGGCTTCATTAATAGTCTCAGGAATGTCTTTATGTAATAACTTATGATGAAACTTTGGACATTGTTGGACTCCACATACCTTTCGTTTTCTGCATTGCTTTAGATTATGATAAAAACTCAAACAAGAAAAGCATATCTTATTTTCCGTTATTATTCTTGACATATTTTGATTTTGACGTATTTTCCTGAATGTCATATTTTGGAATTTGACTAGCCGCATTTGCCTTTTCATCAAGCCACTTTCCTAATTCTACTAGTTTGAATCGTGGTTTTACTAACTTAGAAAGATGGTCTACCTGATATGAGGTTGGTAATTTACTCATTATTTCATTCACTAGAATTAAGTTATGTAAATGTTCTTCCTCATTGAGCGATTCTATAGTAGCTACAAAATTTTTGATTTCATCACAAAACTCTATGAATAACTCAAGCTTTTCTTCTCTCACGGGTGGAAATTTCTTTATTTTCTCTAACAAACATCTGAACGGCATGAACGGAATGAACGGCATTGCAGTAATGAGGTACAATGCTAAGGTGAATACTGTTTTCTACCCTTTTCTTTGCTATCTACATTTGGTCCTCTCAATATTTATCAATAACTGAGATAGCTATAACCTGTCAATATGGCCAGCTAGTTTTAGTTCATTCCTGAATGAGACTACACTTGCCTCATTAATACATCAATTATTTCAGTACGTAATAGTAAACTTTAGATATCTGTATCATTAATGGGCGATCATTTCTTCCACTATGTGGATTACTGTGGATTTCAATTAGTGGGTCATGCTACAGTTTTGTTGTGTCTCTGTTACTGACGATTTTCAGTATTTTATATAAACGTTCACACAACATTTTATAGGAACTACAACAACCGGTGTTAGGTAAAAATGAAGTCCATATGCTAAATCCTTTGAGAAAAAGATTAGTATTATCCATGAAACCAGATTTATTGAGTCATATAAACACCTATGTTTCTGAATTACCTGCAAATTATTATTCATCCGGCTCGAAGGACCATATGTTTTTGAATTACCTGCAAATTATTATTTATTCCGGGTCGAAGAACAAAATTTCATATTCTTTTAGAAAAGTCAGACGTCTTTCAAAAAACTCAACTTTTTTTTTTTCAACAAAACTTATATTTTCACATCAACCTTGATCACTACTAAAAAATGTCAATCAAAAACGATATACAGGATGTAATCAGATAACAATGATAAATCTTTAACAACCTACTTCAAATTTGTAATGATTTATCAATATGGAAATTCTTTTTAGTGAAAGAAAGTGTATTATATTTTACAATAATGGCTAATTCAACGAGTAACCTGGAATAAAGATATAACCTTGACTGAAGAAAAAGGCCAGTGGAGGATGAAATAAAACGGGAATAGATTCATCCTGATCATATATTTTTCCATTTAGTAGTTGTTCACGAAATGGCTACTCAAAGACTATCATGCACACGAGAACACGTCATAAAAAAATAAAAACAATATACAAATTTGTTTCAATTCATTTGTTTCATTTCAGAAAATGTCAAGGTCGAATTCTAGGCTGAAAAAGTTTTTGTCATTTCCTGATAACGCCTATTTGGTTGGTGAAACGCGCATCAAGAAGAGTATGGCATTCCTGGTGAGCCTATTAGATTTATTATATCCCAGAAGTTCCAGTTTTACCTTTCATTATTTAATTTATCATTTTGGTTAACTAACTCTGTCGTAACACTGTAATAAATTGGATGTGAAATGTGAACTTCCAACATATCTGTAATATGCAAAACAATGGAAGGCTATCTCCTATTTATGCATGTCCTCGAGCTGTTGGTTTTTTCAATCTCCTAATAATATTTGTTGCTGAATTCGAAATTATTAATGTCAATGTTACGATGCATATAATGATAACGTGAGTTTTCATTTAATTTTCTGATGAATGTACAGAAGTTGTATCAGATACCTGCGTGATATTATACTTCAAATAACTCTCGCATTTACATACAGGTTGTAACAGAATGGTAGGTCATGAATTGAACCATATATTCTTGTTTCGAGAATAATTCAATTGAATATAACTGACTCTGATGCAAATGTGAACACATAAAAAGTTACAGCCCTTGGAAACTACAAAATAAAAATTGATCCATAGCTTTCTTATCGAGAGAGCATTTTTTTTTCACATAAAACCTCAGAATCTTTTCATCCCATGAATATTTAAGAGGGGTATTGAACCCCTAAAATTCCCCAAACTTTCCTATGCGTTGGAATTGAATTGATATTGTTACAGTATTGGTTCATTTTTGAATTTTTTTACTTCGTAGCACTTTTTCGGAAAGCCAGTTTTTATCGAGATGCAGGCTCTTGTTCAATATCCTTTGAAAATTTGTTAGTTGACTGTTCAACACATAGTTCTTATGAATAATTAACAAACATTTGCTTCAAGAATCAGACACAGTCAATGGAAGCTTTTGATTACTGCGTATTTCAGGGGTGTTGAGAAAAATCAAACTTTCTGTTTATAAGTTTGCAGAAATGGCAGATATGTATTCAATTCTGACTACGTTTGGTCAGGCTTTTACAAGATTTTGGGTCATTATCTATAATTATGGTAGTCACAGGTGGATGCCAAGGAAACAGTGCAGCAGCTAGAGGGCGTTATTCGGAAACATCAACCAATCGGAATACACCATACAGACGATTATTTTTTTCCATGGATCGTCATTTACGGGAGACGAGTACTTTGCGACTGAAAGTTGCTGGTGATAGTGGTCGTCAAAAAATGAATATTAACGATGAGGAGATTTCAGAATTTGTCGATGAAAGCTCTGGAAGCCGTACAAGAAAAAGGTTTGGAGAAGATTACAGGAACAGCAAATTCACCCCTATCACTTAACAACTGTTGAATACCCTCACGCAAAAAATACGACTCATTGTGGCATTGTGAGTAATAATTTATTAGGACCAGTATTTCTTCCAAATAATTTGAATGGTGCAAATTAGTCACAGTTTTTACAAAATTGTTCACCAGAATATTTGAACGAGGTAAATGTAGACATGAGGTAAAATATGTGGAATTTACAAGATGGAGCTCCAGCGCATTTCGATAATGAGGTTGGGGAATAACTTTTTGGTCTGTCTCCCGCACGTTGGATTAGAAGGGGCCCTGGAAACTATTTCCTCTCCAGCCAGAAATCCAGATCTCAACCCTATTGACTGTTGCTTTTGGGGTTTTACCAAAGAAGACGCGTATTCTGTTGAAACAATCGGCAAGCAACAACTAAGGCATCGAATCATTGAAAGTGCAATTGTATTTTATCAGAAGCCTGTAATCTTATGAAAAAATTAGGAAATACTACAAACTTTAACATATTTTTTGAACCTGCCAATAACATGAATACTCAGTTATTATTATAACTCACTTTTTGTTACTCAAAATTTTTGCTGCATCTCGGTGAAAGCTGGCGTGTCTAAAAAGTGCTAGAAGATAGAAAAAAATTAAGAATTATGCAAAAAAGTTATAGCGTCACAACTGACAGTATGTAGTTGCTGAAGCAACTGTTTGTTATCTGTAGGAAGAATTTTAGAAGATTATTGAAAATCTCGATAAGAACTGTATTTTCGAGAAAGTGCTAGGTGGCAAATAAAATAAAAAATGATGTAATAAACAAATGGTGTCACAATACTGATTCAATTGTAACACATAGAGAAATGTTTGGTGGGTTTTGAGGGTACAATACCCCCTAAAATTTGTATGGACTAGTTTCATACGAAAAAGATGATCTTACAATAAGGAAGCCATGAATTTATTTTCATTAAAATATGTTGAACAGTTCATGAAATATTGGAAAAAATCGATTTTCGTTTTGTGCTTTCCTACAATATATGGTATAATTTATGATCTACCTTTTTGTTACAACTCATATTCAACTCATATTCAACTGAAAAACTAATCGAGAGTATAATGAGTTTTAGTAATCAGGTGTTAGAACTTCCAAACTATTTGATGTTCCAGTCAATTCCATTACCCAAAACTTGTGATTGAAATAATTATCAGATTCAATAAAACTGTTTCGGCATACCAGAGATATTTGCACACCTTTGAATTCTTCAAGACCACGGCATATTTGTATGACTCAACGATCTCAAAGAGACAAACTGACATACTTTCTGAAATATTTATTGTATTGTATGTAAAATAATTTTAAAGAATTCGCAAGGGAAGATGAACAGTTTTGTTTTAAAATGATGAGAAAGTCGAACTACAGGAAGGTACGGTGTTTAAAAGTATAATAATTAAGTAGGTACTGTATATTTCTGATCATGAGAAAAAAATAATTCGAGTTCTATTGAAAGAAATTGCATTCGACTTGATATTTCAATTGCCAATAAATACACGGTGGACCAGTGTAAACGAAACAAGGCCAGTATCTCAATTATGTCATTTGGGATTTCTTCCCCAAATGCCATGATCCGCCCATTCTCATTTCGAGGGGCCAGGCTGCCAAGCAATACCTCATTTGAATAATCATCGATTTCTCCTCTCAACGCTTTCCACTTTCTGGTAGCGGATATCGGAAAATAAGCTGTCACTGAGATTTCCATTCCACAAAGGAGAGATTAAGAAATTCTAAATGTGCCAAGTATCGTACTGAATTTTATTTCAACAAATATTCAACATGTTGGTGTCCTGTTTCTATAGAGTGACAAATGATTTATTCAAAACGCTTTGAGATGTTTTGAGGCATTCCAAGTATTATATTGTGGCAGTTATAAATGAAAACGTACCATATTCTGATTAAAAATTGTTGACGTTGCAGAATACTTCACTGATCCTCTTTGATCTATCCACCTACTAGAAAGGGTTTGATTGAATAATATACGAACAGCATGGGTATAGTGAGGAGATATCCCTTGTTGAAATGTTGATTCATTTCCATTGATGCTGTGAATATGTTCAAGAATATCTGTTTAAGTGGGATCAACGGTGTCTTGTAACAACTGCAAGTCACAGCCCATACATTTGCTTCTCTGAATGTTGAGTATGAACTTCACGGAAAAAGTACAGTTTTTTTACTCCAAAACCGATGGTCGTGACCATTTACAGTCTCGTTCAGAAAAAATTAACATTCATCTGAAAAAAAATTCACTCAACAATCAATTCAAGTTATTTATCATCCGTTCACTGTTGAAGTCATCTTTATTTTATTCGTGCTGAATTTGGAATGTATAGCCATGGAATTTATGGGATTCCAGAATTATTCGAATAGTCTTGAGACTTCAGCAAAAGACCTTATACAACACAACAACTTCCATAGCTTCGTTTTCCATTATTACATTTTGGAGGTTCCTTTTTGGATTTGCTACCGATCATGTCTCTTTAGGCTTGATTTCGAGTTCAATCACGTAGTGATAGTTGAAATGTTCATCCGGATTTTAATAAACGAATAACTGTGTTTCTTGGGAAAGAAACCTTTTGGCTTTCCACTTCACCATCTTGAAACAAAAAATGTGAGAATATTACTTTCTTTGAAAGATTCCCCCAAAACTTTTCTTCCCTAAAAATTAATTTCTTTTAAAAATATACACTTTCAATTTAAATAACTGTGTTATATTGGTGCACCTACTACTTTCAAATATCCATTTTTTTTCTGCAATTGAAATATCCAATCTCGACATAGTCACCGCCAAAATCTGTGAGATACTGAACATCATCAATTTCCATAGTAGATAATACTTTATTGTGAATGAGCCAGTAAGATAATCCTTGAATTGAAACTGAGCTAGTTGCACAATGAAAAATTAGGATTTGAAGTGAAAAAACAATTCATATGTCCGTTTACTGCCCGCTTTTCTTATAACTTTTTTTCTAGAAAACTACTGCATCAAAGGGTTGGAAGCTGGAAGCGTAGAGGAGAGAAATCTAATTCAAGGTTCTGGATTATTACCCACACCTAGTGGGTGAAAGTGACAAGGTTGGGTGACACGAAAAATGAATAATGAATATGTTACTTCTCAAAGCTGTTTCATTTGGTGACTGACATATTTTGTTCTGTTCTGATAAGCCTAACAACTTACTTTCGCTGAAAAACACAGTCATCTATGAGTTCATCCAACTCATAATTTACCAAAATTATGCATATGACAGGCTAAAGTTCAGGTGAAAAAATCTTACCTCTTACATCTTATGTGAACCTACGACTTTGTAGGTAATTGTGGCAGATATCTGAGGAATAAACAACAACTAACCCAGCTAATGCCGTGCAGAAAGTTGAAGTAAAACCATCAGGCACCTGTACAACGTATTCCATTTGAAAGATTCGTCGCAAGTAACTTCCCAAAATCGCAAATCGATTTCAATTGGTCGGGACGACCATCAACAGACCGATTTCGGAGTATTAGCTCCTCGTCAGTATCTTGATAGTCATTACAGATGGAGTGAACTGTCTGAGTATCCCGAAAAAACAAAATCAATTCCAACTAGACATAAGCTCTCTATGCAGTTGATTCAGTAGGATGAACCACAGTAGACAAAGTTCGGAAACAACTCCATAAACACAAACTCCGGAATGGAAGAATAATAAATAAATATCTTCCGGAGAGGTGCATTCGACATGCTCAAGTTTGAGTGAAAAGACCTTA